GGGGCGATGCCTGCGCTCTTCCCTAGAAGCTAAATTACGGTACGTCACTACTACAAAAGCAAATCACTGTCCAATATGTAAATACCAGCAAAAAAACCTGAAACCTCCAGCCATGAGCAGACTTAAACGTGCAATATGTAATTTTCTGCCGCTAGGGGTCTCAAACCAAAACAATAACAGAAGACGATGTTGGATGACGGAGTTGGATGATGTCACGAAGTAGCGTGGAATCATGGGAGTTGTAGTCATATAACTGCTGGCCGGAGTGCTGGTGCCCCGGCGGGCAGCAGTGCTTGCAATACACTGGTGGAAATGATTAATATTTCGATAACATCAGCCAGATGTTTGCTTACCTGTCTAGTAGAACACATGCGAGGTCGGCGTCGAATTGTAGTCCTAGATTTTCACGAAGCTCTCTCCATCTCGGAAAGGCCACACCAATATTTATCCTTGATTTAGCTCTCTTCTTATCCCAAATTCTTCTGGGATCGCTTGGTTGACCCGTACGTTTCCGTTTTACCGGCTTGTTTACCGGGACAGCTTCGGTGTCAGAAGGTGCAGCAACCCCCAATGCATAATCATGATCCATGATGAGTTAGCTTAGCCTAGCAACAGTAACGTTCATTCTCTGACGTCTCATCCCGTCTGCTTCTTCTCCTTCTCCTTCATTTAATGGCTATGGTAACTGGAGTTACGTCGCCATTGACATGCGACCTAATGACACGGTCCGTAACTTTTATTAATATTTCATATTTATCTGGGTTTGAAAAATTGTTGGAAACATTTCTGATAATCAAAGTACACAACTAAACAAAATATATAACATTGGTTTAGTCGTTTTTAGACATTTTTATGTGGAAAATCTACATATTATAGCTTTAAAAAAACGTACTTAAATGTATGTGATATGAAAATCTCAGCCAGAGAGAATATATCTTTTTGCAAACTTTAATTAGACCTGTGGTATATAAGACATAATAAAAATGACAATGTGAACACACTGTAACATCATAGCAGATATTATTGTATGTTCACAACCACTAACACTGTGTTTGCCCCTGCCAGTTACAAGCTAACAAGCTTGTTGTTGTCTATATTAATGCACAATAGAGATGTTAATAATTAATTAATTAACCATTAGGAATAAGAATTCATTCATTCATTATTCATAAGTACTTATTCTGGTACAGGTTCGCAGGGGGGCTGGAGCCTATCCCAGCTGACACTGAACGAGAGGCAGGGTACACCCTGTACAGGTCCCCAGACTATCACACGGCTGACACATAGAGACAGACAACCATTCACACTCACATTCACACCCAATTTAGAGTGACCAATTAACCTGCATGTCTTTGGACTGTGGGAGGAAGCCATAGTACCTGGAGAAAACCCACGCTGACACAGGGAGAACATGCAAATTCTGCACAGAGGGCCCCAGCCAGCCAGCAGATGCGACTTGCAGCCCTCTTACTTTGAGGTGACGGTGCTTACTACTGCCCCACTGTGCCACCCCAGAATAATTCTGACCAATTAATACCATCAGTTATAACAGTTATATAAAGATTTTATTTAATATAATATACTGGCGCTATCGGGGAGATGAGACAGCAGAGTCTGCTGCCCAGGCTGGAGACATATTGCCATGATGTTGTTTCTGGGAGATGACTACAGCACCTCTAGGTTTGCAACAGTATGAGATTTTCACGGTACGATAACTGTCCCAGAAAATATTGCAGTTTCGCTTCGCAAATGTACACTGTATGATAACTGTTAACTTTTACATCACGGTATACCTGGAAACCGGTATATCGCTGCAACCCTAAGCACCCCTCAATAAGCTAAGGACCTAGAGGCAGAGGTGGACACATATGAGAAACAATGCCCCTTCCCCCATCAGATACTAACCGTCTTCATTGGTGGTAAGGATCAGCAAACTTTCTGTTGCTGCCATCACACAAAACGGTCAGTCCAATGTCTGTGCGGTTACTACAAGCTCACACAGCAACAGCGGCTAACATCCGACACTGAATGGTCCCAACAAACCTACACTGACACTGAAATGTCTTGACTCTGTTGTTAAACCCATTAGGCAATGTTAGCCATGTGATTCAAGCAGTTAGCCCTGTCACGGTAAACAGTGAATCGTTGGTTAAGGAAGGTCCACTATAGGTCACAAAAAAAAAAGTCTAAATTTGCATCTCTAGTGCACAATAGAGTCCTCATCTAAGCCTGACTGAGGCTCAAACATGCATGTCTGAATCTCTATGTTTCCTCCAGTGCTAGCCATCTTGATGCACACTGCAGCTTCACTGGTCAACCTGTGCGAGCAGTGGTGGTGGGCGGGGCAGAGGTCAGATCCAGTATTTCTCAATGAGGGAGAGAGGGTAGATCTGCTTCTACCCCCCTTTTAGAGTTAATTTACTTTTTATGTGGGAAAACCATGTTAAACAAACTATTAATCACAGCAGAATATTTTTACATACTTTAATACATGTCCAGAGGGGCACTTTAATATGGAGATCAGTAAGTGTAAAGACAATGAGGCTACTGAACATAATGTACAAGCGAGCAGATCCAGGCTTTATCCTACATTAAACAGATAAAAACGTCCTGGACTTGATGATCAAGGCTGCACCATGACGCCGTTTGACATTTCATAACAATCAGTTTCCAAGAACAGGACAACACACATCTTGGTGGGTGGACATGCTTGAAACTCATTTTGCAAGGCAACATTGTTTGTGGGAACAAGGATGCTGACGTGCTGTAAAACACTGACGCAAAGAGTCAATCAGAGCTGCTTTGCACTAAAAAAAACCCAGGAGACAGAATAACAAATTGCATAAATGATCAGATGACTAGAGGAACTGGTCGCAGCGATTCAGACAAGGCTCCAACAGCAGGAAATTTCTAGCAAAAACTGACTCTTGTATAACCTCAGAGTGATTGTGTGTATGTCTGGTGTTTGTCCATCTTTTACCAGTTTATTTTTCAGTCTGCGTGTGTCTTCTCTCCGTCTGTCTCGATGCCCCTCAGCCTGTTTGTATATTTATTTTTTCTGCTGTCACTCTGTCTATTCATCAGTTCCACCGCGGGTCGTTTGAGGTCACCGAGCTGTCCATTCTGGTCATTTCTGGGTGTCATCACAAAAGGCTACGTGCCACGAGTCTCAACAGCCAAAAGGGCCCTTGTATCCCAACAAAAAAACCTTTGTTATGTAACGCACTGATGCTGCCGCTGCTGATGCTGCTCCTGACAATGATCGAGAGCAGGAGAAAGACAGAGGAGAGGAGAGGAAGAGATACGGGGAGGGGGGATGAGAGTCAGACGGGGACAGGGAGGGAGTTAAATTAACAGAGAGAGAAGGAGGGAAGGAGCAGTGTGTGTCCCTTCAGTGTTGGATGAGCAGTGTGTCCTATACTACCCACGAGCTGCACCAACGCAATCTCTGTACTTCATGTACTTTCATCCTGCTCTCCATTCAGTCTTACACCAAGGCCAACAGCATACAGCAGCATGACATCACTGACTAGAGGAGGAAAAACTCCTCTCTGCCCCCCCCCCCCCAGCCATATCAAATCTCACTGATGAAGCGATGCTCCTGCATCCCAGGTGTGTGTCTGGTTACTGTTGCAATGTCTGATCTGTACTCACTTCTAATCCTCTTCCGTCTGTCTTTAGTTTGTCCTTTGAGGAGAGGAGGGCAGCTTGTTTTCAGGTGCTTTAGACACATGTGCATTTCCTTACAGAATTTGCCTAAAGAAAGCACTCCTTTATTTCTCAATATCTGCCTCGTTCACATATATAACTTCTGTTGCATCTCAGCGTGTGGCTATCAGCTGAGAAAGTGTCATAAAAAGTGAGACAAAAAACAAAGTGGGTGATGTGACAAAGTGACTCAGACCTGCGAAACACAACACACTGTGCACAACTTTTGTTTACGTATACAAGTCCTGTCTGTGAAGGATCACCTTTCAAAGCCTGCGACACTGACCCTCATCTTCGATCCCTGTGTATCGATCTTCGCATCATCAATAACTATCTGCATGCACGCTTTGCAATGAAAATAGATCAGTGCAAAGGTCAGGACTTGATAAAAGTGTCTCTTCTTAAACTGCCTCACATGCACTTTATTTAGTTGGGGTGGGGTGGGGTGGGGTGGGGGGACATTTCCACCTGCTGGCCCTAACTGTCATTGACTTGTATGGGATGGTAGATGTCACGTGGGGCAACACATCAATAAATACACACACACAAACAAAATAATAATACATGAAGGCTTGAGGTTTACAGTGTGTGTGTGTGATTATTGAATCAGGTCACAGGCAGTGGCGCACTTAATCTGGGGCAGAACTTCAGCCACCACACGCAGCACAGATGGCGGGGATGCCTCAGCTCAACAATGCTCAAAACACACACGCATGCGCGCCCGTGCACACACACACACACACACCACCCACTCCGACCAGCTGTAACATCTGCAATGACTGACAGATCGATGAGGGCCAGGTGACTGTCGTCAGAGCTGGTGATCACACGCGCGCGTATTACATGATAACCCACACTGATCACCGCTGACGTGCACCATCACGACCAGGCGCGCGCACGCGGATGATGGCGCATACGTGCAGGACTGCCACCACAAACAGCATGTGTCCTAATAATAACCACTGGATACTGTAGCTCCACTGCAGAGTGCACTTCAGCATCCAGTCCACCAAGACAACATCAGTCCAAATATGAATAACACATATGATTATCATGTCACGCATGTTGTTGGCAGGACACGAGCTACACGTCATAAACTTGTGTTTTTATTGTTATAGCTGGTTACAGCACGCGAGCCTGCTTGATAAAAGTTGACTCGGTTAAAAAAGTGGTGGATAAGCTTTATATATTTATACCAACCCTGGAAAAAAAGCTTCACAGCGCGATAATGAAAACAGTGCGTAACAACAAATGCACCACAGTGATAAATAACGCAAAGGAAATCATTTTACCTTTGAAGGGAAGAAAAAACGGATCTCCACGTAGCTCAGGAAATGTCGCACCTCCTCGTCTTCCTCGTGGCAGTGCCAATCCTAAAACCCCTTTCGCATTCCTTCCCAAGCAAATTTCCTCTCCTCTCCGGCCCTGGCAAGTCCTGCAGAGACGCAATGTTTTGACGCGCAATGATGCCCAGCAGAGTTTAGAAGAGGCAGAGAGAAAGAGTGATGAAGCAGCCAGCCGGAGCGAGAGCGTTCACTCCAACATACTTCCGGGTTTGCAGAAAACCCGTTATACAGATAGGTGGATTCTTTTATCCGATTTCTGTCCATTGTCTTATTTTTTATGTTCACGTTAACTTACGCAGCGTGATTTAAAACGCCTGTTATCCATACTATTATAATACGTGGACATACTTGCCAATATTGTTCTTTGAAGCACGGTTTCGCGCATGCTCAGTAGGGATATGGTGATGACAACGTTTCCCAATTGTTGCCAACAATTTTGCATTAAACGAGAAACGCCTGCTCAAACTCTATTGTCATTGTGTTGTCTCATTATATAAGGACACTTTTAATCGGTAGAGCCGTGTTTACTTTTGAGAAACACGTTTTGTACAAGTACAACACAGTAGTCAGATATCAAAGATACTTACTAAAACAACTCTTTCGCCTTCAAGGAAAACCTTCCATTTCTTACAGTTACTTACCATCTTTACACCGTTTTTTAATATATAAATACAAACAGCGATTGAGACACTTCTTTAATATACTTAGTTGGTAATTTAATAATAAAAAAAACTACGTTACACGAAGACGGGAACTATCTTGACGACCGAGTTAACGATCTTTAGCGGAAGTCGCACTAGCCGTTGACTTGATGAATGATTGACAGCTGTATCAGCCAATCAGCGAACTGATACGGCATAGCAACACTGTGGTTATTGGTCAAGGACAGAAACAAGTGACCAATCATCTCACAGGAATCATATTTTTACTGTATTCTCCATGAACTTACACCACTGGCCATGAGAGTGTAGTTTTATGAATGAAAATCAAGCAGGTGAAGAGTAGAAAGCCTTTACTGGTTATTGTAAAACTGTGAGTAGAGAAAAATGTTTGCACGGATGATTTTTATGTAACCCAACATGCTCAGCATTATTAACTTTTCCGCCACTGGGAAAAGTTGTTAAATCCCTGCAGTTTACAGCGCCACCTCCTGCCAGTGTGCAGGTGGTTACCAAATATTTATTCATATAAATTAACATATATTTGTTGTCCAAAGTGGTAAAAAAAAAAAACGTTATAAAGCTATCATTATACTGTAAATACACACTGCTTGTATTACAATATTTCTTGAGTTTATTGATGTTGATAAAAATGTACTTCTATTAATAATTTCAAATCAAAACACATGGCATACTCCACGTGGGATAAGACATTTCAAACAGCAGCCAGGTCCCACACACTGGTTCTGTCAGTCACAATATAATCAAACACTTAACAAATATTCATTTAGGCATGCAAAACAAAAGTACACTCAATACAGCACAGGTAATAAAATCAAAATAGAGTCACTGATGTAAGATTTCTAATAATGAATGACTTTGGATATACAGGTGTTCTCAAAACAAAATATCAGTCAGATTACGCTCACACACTAATACAAAACACTCAACAACAAACTAAAGAAAATAAAACAGCAATACTGTTTTTACTGTAAAATATCAAACAACGTACAGTACATTCGACCATAACTACATTCAGTACTGACCCTCACTGTGTGGTCACACGTTTGGATTAGAGTATGTCAGTGGTATGATAATCACGATGATCCTCACACTTTTAAACTGTGACACCCACAGAGACGAACTGCTAAAGTGCTGCCATCTTTAATACATTTCAAGTGACCGCAATCAAGCAATAAATCAACACGTATCGGGGCTTACACTGTATGTCCAATACACTTTAAAGCCCATACGTTAAAAAATGTTCACGATTATATTAACAGGTGAAAAAGGTACGATTCATCACTTAAACAAACAAGATAAGGTTTCTCTTTGTGCAAAATTTCTGTCTCAGATTCATTAATGGACAAACTCAGTCAGCCTCAGGTATTTCATTTGATTCAGAGGAAAATGTAAAGACAGAGCAACTACATATGATCATAAAGCACAGCTACGCAACATTAAAAACAGTGGGGTTTTTTACAGAGCCGTCCACAACTGAATGTGCCTTTGAAATGTAAGTACTCAGCAGTGGTACGACCAGCCTCAGCGCTCACACTGCTCATGTGAAACTTGACTTGAAACTAGCAAATGTCTGACTGCATGTGGCAATCTCACAACTGCTAAGATCGGTGTGTTATTGCGTGTGCTAAGTGACAGTCAGCTTGTAAAAAGGAAAACAAAATCAGACATCGAAACACTGTAAAGTTGCTGGTGAAGTAACATCAAACTGCATCTGCTCGTGCAGTACTTGAACACAGTAATATTGCAAAGTCTCATTACTTGATGGCGTTAAAAAAGCCTGAATGTCTTTGCATCTGTAAAAATTAAAAAAAAACATTTTCAAGTCAAAAGCTGTTAATTTTGAAATTCAAAGCTGTAAGACTTGCAAATACTATATTTCAATAACGGTTTTGTCCCACGTTACAGACATATTAAAAAGGTTCTGTGGTTTTAAATAGCTGTTTGATACTGATAGGAAGGTATCTAGTGAGGGAACAAAAAACCTACAGAGAACATAACTTCAGAGGGGATGATAGCAGATGCAGTGTGTGTCCTTTAAAAGTATTTTACATGATTGAAAATACACAGGTTTGTATAGCAGTACAACAGCTGATTGCTGTATAGAGGAGCCCTGCTGGAATGCATGCAGTAAAAGTGGGTGCACTTGAGGGGGAGACTGGTTTGGCAGGTCAGTCAGGTTGAAGGATAATCACTGGTGGTGTGTGGCGGGGGGGTGAGGTAGATTTTGGCAGGTCACCGGGGCTTAGAAATGCCATTCCTGTCCATGAAGTCTTTAAGCCTGGTGGGAAAATCTGTCATAACTCCCGTGGCGCCCAAGTCAAACGCCCTCTGAAAGTCCTCCTCGTCATTCAGCACCCAAATGTACACCTGAAACCAGATGCAGACGCAGGACTCGGTTAAAAACACACACATCAAACAGCCGAGGGAGTCACACAGGGGGAAGGAATGCTTGTGTGCTCTGACAGCAGAGTTAGTGGCCACTCAAGCCTATTTTTGAACGAGTATGAATGATGGACATTTCCTAGTAACATCTCTTAACTAACACTACAACACAAAACAACATGGCTCAACAAGCAGCTCTCAGAATGCACACAGGCTCATTTTGTAGCATGGAAAGTTTTTCAGTCATTTTTAGAAGTAAAGACAATACAGGGGAAGTTACTAGAGATGCTCTGATACCATTTCTTCCTTCCCAATACCGATTCCAAAACCTGAACTTGCTTATCACCCTCTCATACCACAGGCAACTGTTCATAAAAAAAAGCCTAAAAATCTCATTTAGGGAGCTTTGCTACTTTTTCCTCCTGTTTATGTATTTCTTGTCCTTTCTTACTACTAAAGTCATGACTGTTCGCTGGACTGGACCTGCGTCAGTCTTGACAGATTTTGCACCTAAACTAGCCACTGCATCATAACATCTTGAACAAGCACATGATTTTGTTATAGATTACTACTGTTTTGCCAAAAAAGAAAAAGAAAAGACAGTCATGATGGAGATGTGTTTTCATTTTTAATGGCATATAGCCTAAAGCAAATGGCACCATTTGCCCCCCACGAGCACCGTCTATATTTACAGCCCTGCTATTAACCCTGTATGGATGTGACTTGATTACTATCATGTTGTATGACATGGCTCAAGTTAAACTCTTTGTAAAACATGAACAAATTCCAAAGAAATTAACAACTTGCTGACATTTTGCTAACGGCTCATGCTTCACTATTTACTGGAGATTAATTCCTCTCCGTCTCTCTGAAACAATAGTTGTCAGTGGCTGAACAGCACAACAGTGACAAAGAATTTATTCATGGGAAAACCTGTTTTATCCAGGTGTGAGACTATTTTAGTTTATTATTAAATTGTGTAGTATCAGATCAGCACTTTGATTTGGGTACTCGGTGATAACCGATCCTGCATTTTTGACAGTATCAGAGGTATTTCTAATATTGAAAGTAGTATTGAAAAAACTCTAAAAAGTAAAGTAGTCTAATAGCACTGTATATGTAGATATTTTTTTTAACTATGCACATGTCAACACTGTTGTGAACAAAAACTTTATCTGAGCTCTCAGGTTATATTAAGAGTTAAAGTGAAGAGTGATAAATTGATTTTGACGGGAAGTGGCCACAGGGGATGGGACGAATCACAATTTTATTGCTGATCTCAATATAAAACACTCATAATAAGTTGATTCCATCATTAAAATAATTGTGAATATCGTGTTAAGCAGCACCTGAAGAGACTGCCAGGCTACTAACAATAAAACAGACTCTGTGAGAACAGGCTGCAAACACACCAACTTTAAAAAACGCAAAAGGTCTTAATCAATCACTGGCATATTTCATATCAAAAGATTTGATGCCAAATAGTTGAATAGCCTGGCTTTTTAAGATTAAAAGATGTGTTCTCTCTTTGTTTGTTAAAGACATGCTGTGCAGGATTTTCCCAAAAAGCAATGTATCAGGTCAAACAGAAGTAATCCCTCTCAATCATCACTTAGGACCCACTACAAGTCTGCCGCTGTGTATTTTTCTGCACAGACTCTGCCCTCTGCCTGTCTTCTATCTTCTTGGCGTGTACCTTTACAGCGCTAAGGTGACGTCAGGGCTTTATAAAAAAGGTAGCAAGCAGGTGCTAGACTGTAAGCAGCAAGCATTCAAGACACACAGTGCCAATAAACGAAAGTATAGCAAGGCAAAACACCAAATGAGTTTTGCCGGCGAGCGTGTTTACAAGCAGTAACAGACAATCTTGCAGAGTACACCTTTAACTAAATGTAGAGGTTTTTTCTCTTTTGTGAAGACTACTATAGAGGCTACATAACAGCAGCATTACCTGTATTCCCCTGGCAGTTAGATGCTCAAACAGAGCTTTCCTCATCAGCAAACTGCAAGAGAGAGAAAAAGACTCATCTGCAGGGGAGAAACTGCAAGTACAGCGAAGCTAGAGAG